TGTGTATGAGGGGGGGGGGGGGTGCACCTGTGTGGGTGCGTGTGTGCGTATTTATGTATGTGTGTGTGTGTGTGTGTGTGTGTGTGTGTGTGTGTGTGTGTGTTTGAGCAGCTTTTTGAAAATAGGTGCAGCTTTTCGAAAACAGGTGTTTACACCTTTCTTCTCTTGATATCATCAGAATCTATTATCTATTTGTGGTGGCCGAATTTCGCTATTCAAAAGGCTTTTTAATGGCAGCATCAATCGACATGCAGTTTTCGCCAAAAGATTCTTTAAAATATTCTCCAGAGCATGACGCCCTTCGCTTTTTAAGTTTGGAGACAGTTTTGCTGCAAAAAGCTACATTTCTTTATTTCGCTGATCGCGTTTGTAGGCCGACGCTTCTGTTTTTGTAATTTTAGAAAATCCGGAAGTGATATTTCTCGAGGCACATTTTGTTTTGAGAGTATAGATCTAGACTTTATAATTTTTTGCATCTCTCAAGTTTTATTGTTCCATTCCAGTAGAGCGTAAAATTAATATAGATATAGTAGGCCAATTACTTTTAGTTGATATTAAAGCACCGATCATTCCTTTCATCGAAAGGGGGCCCAGCTTGTTTATTACAAATCTGAAGATAGGAGAAATAATCAAAGGAAATGATGAGGAATCCCTGTTTCACCAAAAAGCCGAATAGACAATCCTATCACAAGATCTATTATGTTCGTTTCTCTCCTGTGTCTTCACGTTTTTGTTCCCATAGAAACATCATGCGAACCAGGTCTTGCGTCCATGGACTCCAGGGCAAAGCTTATATTATAGGGCTATGTAACGCCACAAAGGTACTGCATCTCTTGTTAAAGTTTTCTTTACGTATAGTTACTGCTTTGAACCAGTAAAGTGGTTCGTTTGTAAACCACGTACGCCTCCCCTGGATCTAGAGTCTCGTCCTTGTAGGCTTCATACAGGTGTCGAAACTGAAAAGAAAAATAAAAGTAGGAAAAATTACTGTTTCATGCTGTTGTTATGCTGGTGAGGGTTATTACACCTTGACATGGATAATGTGGAGAAAGCGAGTGCTGCCAGAGACATTAGAGTAGACCAACACACGAGTGGAGAGCTGAGCAGGAGTAAGGAGACAGAGAAAGAAGGACGATGGGTAGGGGACAGAAGTTGACGACGAAGGAGTAGAGGAGGAGGAGGAGGAGGAGGAGGAGGAGGAGGAGGAGACGAAGAAGAAGAAGAAGAAGAAGAAGAAGAAGAAGAAGAAGAAGAAGAAGAAGAAAAGCAGGAGGAGGAGAAGGAGGAGGAATGGAGTAGGGGGAGAGGACAACAGTAAAGAAAAGGAGTTGAGACTCCATCTTTAAACGAAATCGTTTCAAAATGTTAGAGTCTAGACTGAAGACCACTCATAATAACAGGACCCGATACCCCGTCCTCACTCACCCACCCTGACGATCACCACAGGGGGAAAAAAATCAAGCTTGGATCCTGTCAAACGAAAATGAGATTGCTGAAAAGACATCTTCCTTTAAAAAAACTAAAGTGGGGCAGTTCAGTAATGCAAGTACGCCTCTTTGGGGTATTATCTTCAACTATTTTTTTTATTAAGCTTGAGAGTGGAACCCCCCCCCCCAAAAAAAAAAAAAACAACAAAACAACAACAACCAAACAAACAATCCATTTAAATGGCGTTTTGGAATCAAAGAGTCAAACGGGCAGAAGTGACCTTGCAGTCTGAGAGAACGCTGTTCTTGGCGCAAGTGACATGTCTCCTAAAGTATAATACTTTTTTGTTTCTACGTAACACAAAATAAATCTAGTTTTAAAATCCCAAGCTCAAAACGTTTTGAGTATAGTTATCAGATGCACACAACGTATAGTGCAACAACCATATAGCGTTCTACAAGAAGCAACAGTGAGTGCGGAGGCTCATGAAGACGCAAGTGGGGGAGGGGGAGTGGTAGGTACGTGTATCTTAATGCACCAAAACATAAAAATATAACTATTCGTCGGGAAGGGTGGGGGTGTCAACGGAACCATTTCTCTGTTCAGTTCTGAGTCTCAAAGGCTGTGGAATATCACATTGGCACTTTTTTTCCCGACGAACAGACTGGCTTTAAAATATCACTGAAATATGAATGGGAAATAGTAATGTTCCACTATTCGTCTCGAGCTGTAGATTGTGACAGTGATAGTTCGCTGCATTAGAATTACAACGTTTTCTTTGATTTTTTTTTGGGGGGGCCGTTTTGAGTTAAGAAGATAATGAGGTCAGAAACCAATAAATGTTCTATCAGTATCAGCTCTATCAAAATCGTTAGATTATTCGGCGTTGTCATCAAGATATTCAAAGATTTACATTCCAAAAAGCTTGTATAGAACTTTGCAACATTCTGGGGTAGCGAGTTATCTCATGGCACACACAAAACGTTCCGCCCCCACACACCAGTCTCTCTGTGTAGCTCGTGTGTCGTGTGGACGGGTGAGGATAAAGCTGAGCAAAACAGCACAAACGCTGTTGTTTTTCTCTTAACTCGTTTGGTCTAAATTAAGGTTTTGCTAATTTTTCTTGATTTTTTGGGGTTTTTTAAATGTATTTTATAAGTAACATATTATGTATGATGGTGCATATCCCCGCTCAACAGCAAGTTCTATGGGCTTGACGATCGATAATAAAATTATCCTCTCCAAACTATAAAAAGTTTGGAGACTAGTGATTTCCTGGGTTTATTTGTTAGATCAAGAAAAATAAATGGGTAGGAGTAGGGGTGGGAGCTGTTGGAATAATGCAAGGACATGTTGTCGAGGAGAAAAAAAATTAGACCAAAAAAATCTTTACGACTGATGATAATGTTTAAACAATACCTGACAGCCGCTTGAAATGGTCTTCAGTGTAGGTAAAATTGAGCATGATACATGTATAACGAAGTTTATGGTACGAGTTCTAATTACCTATGAAAATTGAAAAAAAAAAAAAAGGGGGGGGGGGGTGCTGGCTTTCTCTTATCACTGTTATTATCAAAACTGTACCTAATGTTATTTACGCTGTAAAACCGGACCTCAAGATGGCACCCATAAAAAAGGGAAAAGAACCTTTCTTTTGCAGTATTAACACTCCATTAAAATTTCTTAGCGGATGTATTATTGCTTTGCTATATCACCTTCTCTTTGCTCGATTTATAGACGGAGTTAAGAGAAGACTTCTGACGTAAATGCCAGGCACATCTCAAGATATATTGATCCCCAAATTTTCAAGAGACAACTGAAACTTTTTTTAATTAAAAAAAAACTAAGCTAAAACAGATGTACCAAAATACATCAAGATTGTACAACCGAATTGTAGCAAACTTATTAAATACATTGGTCAAAATAACGTGGGAAGTTTACTGACCTGTGAGAACATGACAGGCGTCATTTGTCCTTCCTTCTTTCTGCCCTCCAGGCGTTGAAGAATTTGAGGTTACCAATTTTCTGCAACAGTACACACAGAAACGTTAGCTGACGATGCCAAAGCCCCGGTCCGCACAGACCAATACCCAAATAATGAGCGGGGGATCGATGCTGTGGGAGTAATACACGTCTGATAATGATATAGTTCAGGCAAAGAAAGCTTTACGCTAAGAGTACGGCCATAATTACGAACGCTTCGCAACCAATAGCAACGTGCAAGAACAACAAAAATCTAACCAAAACTGGCAAGAAAAGCGCTCTCAGAACCCCATAAAGTAAACAGACAGATTCGTCTTCTGATAAGGGCTGGGTTTGTTGGTTTTTACTGTGTTCGGGAAGAGATGTGTTTTGAGTGTTATACTTTTTTGTCTCTTTGTCCCTCTATTATTATACTTTATCGAACTACCTCATGCCATGGTACAGCTTGGGGCTCCAGGGGCCTGTTTCGAGACGTCACTACGCTACCTTAAAATTACAAAGTTCTATCTGACATGTTTGGCCGCCGTTTTGAGGTACTAAGACCATGAAGTCAGAACGTTATTAAAAAAATCAAAGAATTACATTCGACAAAACTTGACCTTGTTGTGAAACTCAACATTATTTTTTTCAAATTTCTCAAAGCTGACGGTACTGAGCAGATAGAACTTCATAATTCTAGAAAAGCGACTCGACAAAATGTTATCGTTTTAGTCCGTGCCCAGAATAGTTTAAACTTCCCCTCCTGTCACGGAATTACAAGTTACTCAAGTGCAGCCATTTTCTATATAGTACGAAGCCCTTAACTAACTAGTAGTATGGCCTCAAATCCTAAGCTTAAGACATTTCCTTCAGGGCTTGACTACTTACTGGGTTTCTCCAAAAGGGTTTGGAAGACTTATTCTAGCCTGATGTGATTATAGTTTGGGCTCCTGCGAATAGAAATGGTAGCGGACATGCTTAGACTTACAAATATAGGTCACACGTATTTTTTGTGCTCCAAAGATGAAGGCACTCACAACTTCACAGATACTCCTAAAGTCGTTTAGTTTCTTTCACATTTGAACCCTACGATTGACAGCCTGTGTTGCTGCCATTTAGACACACACTGCAGTCGCTCACTTCTCCTCAATACCTACGATTAAAACATCGGTCAGTCCATCTGTCGTTCAGAGTGGTGTGTCTGGAAGAGGCCTGCCTTGGTTAAACGCCCCTTTCAACACTGTAAGGTTTTTTTAAAGAAGAGGCAGGACCATTGAATCTAACATTCCTCTCCGATATGAAGAAGTCAGATTGATGGAGAACTTTGAAAATTCTCCAAAACAACCCAAGTTCATAAGAATCCGTTGGGGAATCGAACCAGCGACATCCGTCCCATAATCCAGCATGATATCAACTAAGCTAAGTTTGTGCCCCTGCCTCGGCATGCTGTGTACTTTGGGTGTGTCGGCTTTGAAAAGAACAAGCTATTAATAATGAACTCTCCATCTTGAAGAAGCCCACGTGTGCCGCTCGCTGATAAAATGATAAAAAAGAGACAAATGCGTTCTCTGGGACACTTAAATGGACCTAACTTTAGCTCTCAGTGGAAAAACAAAGCAAACAAGGCAGAGGAAGGTCCAGATCAACTTTCCTGTAGAACCTGAACAGATGGGTGACGTGGAAAGATCAGGATAATGATAATAATAATAACACAGCTTTCTTGACAGCATCCGAGCAAAGGAATGAATGACGAACAATGATCAAAGATGTCTGTCGAAGATCTGGCACATGATGGAGAACGGTATTGTGAATCCCTACATCCATATTTTATTTAAAAAATGTTTGCTTGATATCCCTGATATCTGACATTTTAAATGTTACAATTTAATGTCCTCTGCCTTTCTTTATATGGATAGAAGCAACTGTACGTTTTACACAATTATTTTGTTTCCGATCAAAATAATTTAGAAAGGTTCTCCCGTTATTTAAAAGTCTGTTCCAAGCCAGGAACTATGGTGCGCAGAATCATTTCATAATTTCATTCATATCGTCATAAATACAAGCTATTCAGTCACTATGGTACAGTTAAGTGTGTGAGAAATACATCAAAGTTTTGTATGTCCATCTTTGTGTGTGTGTTTGTCCATGTATGCAGATTAAATGTGTGTGTTTGTGTGTGTGCTTGTGTGTGTAGGTGTATGTGTATGTTAACGAGTGGGTGTGTGCGCGTGTGTGTGCGTGTGCGTGTGCGTGCGTGTATGCGTGTGCGTGTATATATTCATCATGACGCAGCAAATTTACTTTGTGGAGATCAATGAAATCTTACCGTATTTTATCTTATCGTACCCATCTTCTCTTACCCGGCTGTGATTATTTTTGTGAATGTGTCAAACGAAAGTGAAATCACCATGGTACCGATGACGACAGCAATCTATCAATAAGGATTTTTTTTTCATAGAAAATCTACGTTTATAACTTCTCATGCTGGCAAAAAATGTGTATTCTATTAGTTTGTGATTCGAGTTGCCAAAGACGGCCAGTCAGTATTCACTACCGTGAGTATTGTATGAGCGTGCCCATAAGCTTCTGTATGTATGTTTTTATGATCTGCGTGGGCGCGTGTGCTTGCGTGTTGTGTTGAGCGTGTGTGTGTTTGTGAGCGTGTCAAAGGTGTATACAGTCAGTATGTATGTGTAAGTGCCTGTTTGTAGGTATGTGTGTATGTGTGTGTGTTTGTTTGATGGGGGTGTGGTGTGCCTGTGTGTGTGACTTTGAGATAGACAGAGACAGCGAGAAAGATAAAGGGAGAGGCAGTGCATGAGAGACGGAGGGAGAGAGAGAGAGAGAGAGAGAGAGAGAGAGAGAGAGAGAGAGAGAGAGAG